AAGACTGGGAACAATCTGTGAAAAAAATAAACATAGTTACAGGAGGATAAAGAGGATAAAATATAATTGCTCATCCTACATATTTACATCTCCTCACCAATGTTGCTGCCTATACATAATTATTCTTTAAAGTTATGTAAATAAATCAAATAAATCCAACATTCAAAGTACAATTACTATACAGTGTGGTTGACAACTGGCACCAATATTCATTGCCAGATGCAGAAATGTGGAAGGTTGCTGTGCCATATTTCTAGATCCAGAAGTGACTGGGAGTTAATACCAGTTTGGGTATTAAGCTGTTCCTACCTCTTCTTATGGGGATCAAATTAATCTATGTTGGGGCTTTGCACGAGCATAACAGTTTGATCCTTCAGAAGAATATATTTGATTGAAATCAGGAGAGAATGCCACTTGATTGGAAACATTGTGTGGAATTACAGTATTGATTACATCCAGACTTTATTGCACTGTGTCTGAATTGCTTGGCCAGATAGATCATAACTGAGTACCAGGGAAGAAATCAGCAGTGAGTCCAGCATGTTGTCCAATGGAATTTTTTCTCCCACCATGTCCGCTCAAACCAGCTTTCCCTAACTGTAACTCCCATCATACCTGCCAATGTTAGAGAAGCTGTATACCCACAATATCCAACACGTTGTAAAACACCTCACACGATATGTGCCTTAAATGTTGTTGTATTTTTGGCTGTGTCTTCAAATCATTTCTAACTATGGCGAGCCTAAGGCAAGACTTGTTCTGAAAAGGTTTGCGTTTACCTCTCTCTGAGGCTGAGTGTGATTTATCAAAGGTCACCTAGTGAGTTTCCATGCTTGAGTGGAGATTTGAATTTTGTCCTCTAGAGATGCAGTCCAGTGCTCAAACCACCCTACCACACTGGCTCCTCCTATGCCCTTAGGAGCTGTGGGTTTTATGGAATAGTTTCCCATCTCCCAAAGTATGACTTGAATCTTACATGATTTAATATGTGTGCTCTTTTGTAAACGTCATGAACTAAATATACCTTGATGTAGGGTATGAATACTGAGAAAATTAACTTTATCTTAAGTGCCTGCAAAGCTAACCCTCTCCCAGCAGCTGTTACCACTCAAGTACAAAATGAATATGACTTTAACTTTGCCTGGATCTAACCTAATAAATTCTATTGTTTTGCTAAGCACTTCTGTGAATTAAAGTGAACTCCGGGTTGCCATCCAAGTGCACATATGGGGCTGGAGTGGCTTTTAGGCATGTAGCCAATAGCTTCCCAATTCCCTAATAGGGCATGTAGCCCTCCCTTTAGAAAATCGTTGTATCAGAGGTTGAAAAACAAGCTCTTCTCCATTTCCCGTCAATTAAACAAAAGTTTCTTAGCATTGTCGAAAGCTCTCAGCAGGACTGAATCAAGTAAATCCTTGGCCAAAGGAGTTTGCAGCCTCTCTTGTCTTGTAGCACAACCCGGACAATCAAATACGCCACCAAAATCTAACTTCTGGAGCCCTCTCTTTCAGCCTAAAGTCTGACCAAGATGGTTTTTTTATTGGAAGGGAAATGAAAGCTGTGTTTTCCAAACTTCGGATAACAGGTTCTGTTTTGTCTGTCAGGCCTGGACTACTGTTTGAGGAGTGTTGGAAATGTAATGGGTTTATTAAGCACAGTTACAACTCCTTGGCAGGGTTTCAGCCCAAACCTGTAGGTTTCTCTACAAGGAAAGACAAATTGAGAAATGTTTTGTTTCTGGTTTGATTGTGTGGTACTTAATTTGAAAGTAGTTGTTGTACTCCAGAAACTTCATTTTTCTAGCTGCCACAAATGATGCTGAATTAGTTGAAGCTCTATGAGATATTCATTGAAAAACTACAGCAAAATGTGCTGCAGGATGTCCTGCAAAAACACAACATTTTTTTCAGTTTAATAAATAGTTTCCATGTTTTTATTATAGAAAATGACATTTATAACCCAGGAACAAAAATTGTGTTGCATAGTGTAATTGAACAGATCACAACTAATTCACTGAAAGCCCCGGAACCCCTTTCACACACGTGGTGCACCTACATTGTACAATTAATGCAATTGACACCACTTGAAGTCCCATGGATCAATGCTATGGAATCATAGGAGATATAGTTTTACAAGATCATTCACCTTCTCTGCCAAAGAGCACTGGTTCCTCACCAAACTACGAATCTTGATTCAATAGCATTGAGGTAGGACAATTAAAGTCAAACTGCATTAATTCCACACTGTAGATGCATCCATGGTCACTGGCTGTTCTCTGAACATGAATGATGACGACCTTTGGAAAAATCCAGTGAATTACTAGTGTTTGTTCATACTTGCTGTCAAGTTGACTTCAGCTTATGGTGACCCCATGAATGACAGACCTCCAAGCCATCCTATCAACAGCCCTACTCAGATCTTAAAGACTCCGGGCAGTGGCTGCATAGATTGAGTCTCTCCATCTGTAATACAGTCTTGTTTTCCTACTATCTTCTATCTTAGCAAGCATTATTGTCCTTTCTAGTGAGTCATCATGCTTCTCAGGAGAAGTCAGGCTTGATTTGCTGCATTCATTCCTATCAGCTTACTACACTAGCCATTTTGCACAACTATATGTGGAAATTGGAGATACAATGGAATGGAGCATCCTAACTTGAGTATTTATTATTATTATTTATTTATTTGCGGTATTTGTATACCGCTCTTCTCAACGCCAAAGGGGATTCAAGGTGGTTCACAGTGTTGGCAACAATTCAATTCCATCAATAAAAAACAGTATAAAACATCAAAATTGAACCTCCCTCGATAAAACATAAAACATTATTAAACATATCACATATCACACAAAGACATAGCCGTTGTATTCAATTATATACCTTTGCACATTAAGAACTTCATAGCTGCCCTTCTAAATCCTATTCTTCTGATTGCTGGACTATAGCTTATAAATTAAAACAAACACAACTTTGAAAAATTACACAATACAAAAGCGAACAATGTAATTAGACTAACAAAGAATTAAAGCTTGCTTTGAATTATAAATTGTTAAAAGGAAAGCAGGAAACAGAAAATCTATGTGTTTATTTTATTTACAGTATTTATATTCCGCCCTTCTCACTCCGCAGGGGACTCAGGGCGGATTACAATGTACATATACATGGCAAACATTCAATGCCATAGATTTCTAACATATACAGACAGACACAGAGGGAATTTAACATTCCAGCTTACCAGTTTCATGAGGGTATGCTCAATTTCGGCCACAGGAGGAGCTGCCGCTTCACCGTCCACTTCTGACATCGAATCCTTGATGGAGTACTTCCTCATTTTTACACATGCTGCCAGAAGGTTTTATGATGTTGTGTTGTTTTTGTTCATTCGTTCAGTCGTTTCCGACTCTTCGTGACCTCATGGACCAGCCCACGCCAGAGCTCCCTATCAGCCGTCACCACCCTCAGCTCCTTCAAGGTAAATCCAGTCACTTCAAGGATCTGATCCATCCATCTTGCCCTTGGTCGACCCCTCTTCCTTTTTCCTTCCATTTCTCCTAGCATCATTGTCTTCTCTAAGCTTTCTTTTCTTTTCATGATGTGGCCAAAGTACTTCATCTCTGCCTCTACTATCCTTCCCTCCAATGAGCAGTCGGGCTTTATTTTCTGAAGTGGTTCTCGCAATCCAAGGCACTCTCAGAACTTTCCTCCAGCACCACAGTTCAAAAGCATCTATCTTCCTTCACTCAGCCTTCCCTATGGTCCAGCTCTCACGTCCGTAGGTGACTATGGGGAATACCATTGCTTTGACTATGCGGATCTTCGTTGCCAGTGTGATGCCTCTACAATTCACTATTTTATCAAGATTTGTCACTGCTCTCCTCCCAAGAAGTAAGCGTCTCCTGATTTCCTGGCTGCAGTCTGCGTCTGCAGTAATCTTTGCACCTAGAGATACAAAGTCTGTCACTGCCTCCATGTTTTCTCCCTCTATTTTCCAGTTGTCAATCATTCTTGTTGCCATAATCTTGGTTTTTTTTATGTTTAGCTGCAACCCAGCTTTTGCGTTTTCTTCTTTAACCTTGATTAGAAGGCTCCTCAGCTCCTCCTCAATAGGTACCGACCAAGGGCAAGATGGATGGATGGCATCCTTGAAGTGACTGGACTGACCTTGAGGGAGCTGGGGGTGGTAACGGCCGACAGGGAGCTCTGGCGTGGGCTGGTCCATGAGGTCACGAAGAGTCGGAGACGACTGAACGAATGAACAACAACAGCTCCTCCTCGCTTAAATTCATCTCCCCGCATAAAGTGGTTCCTAAATTTCCTACTTGACAGATGCAACTGTCTTTCGGGCTGCATAGGTCAACAGCAAGCTAGACTACTAATGGTTGGGAGCTCACTTTGACCCGGGCTGGCTTCGAACGCATGACCTCTTGGTCTGAAGTGATTTAATGTAGCTGGCTACTAACTAGCTGTGCCACAGCCCAAATCTAGCACATATTATGCTCGGTATTCTTGTTCCCAATGATAATTGATGCTCTGACACATTCCCAACTTCTACATAATTGGTGGGAAGCATAAAGGAGAAAGTGAACATGATTGTACATCACGAGGCTCCCCAAATAACATTAAATTGCTTTTTAAAAATTCAGCTCTGTGAAAAATCCCAGCCAATGTATGCAGTAGCGACAAAAACTAGGGAATTGTTGGAAGCACAGTCCAAAAAGGCAACCTTTATGTAGGCTGGTGGATATCCCAAAGTTGTCAATCCTCCTCTGATAAAGAGTGGTGGTGCTTCAACAAACTACAAATCTCTATTCAAGTGGTGTCAAATTGAATTCATTCCACAGTGTAAAAGATGCTCACACAAAATTGTGGTCAGGAGTGACAACCTGGGCAATAGGGGTTGGAATACTCAGGACTCCCTCCCTCCCTCCTGCAAAGTCAGAGCAAGGGCTGAACAGAACTCTAAAGACTACACTTCCCAGCACACCCTGCGTGGCTAGACGGAAATGACGGTATAGACTTCCGGTTTGGCTTGCCTTGCCATGGCTGCGCTGGGAGCATCCTGTCGTGTTTGGGGCTGTCGGGGCGCCTCCGTGGCTTCCTTCTTGGGCCGGGCCTCCCGGATAAGCCGAGCCGCCTGGGGAAGGAGGGCGCTCTGCCGAGGAACCGAGGAGGGTGAGGAGAACCAGGGCACAGGAAGGAGGGCCATCTTGTCCCCCTCCCCCAAAAGGAATGGCTGCATGACACTTGTAACCCTTGCCTTACAGCAGAAGGAAGGGCGGCATTGATTTTGTCATTTGGGAGTTATAGTTGCTGGGATTTATAGTTCACCTACAATCAAAGAGCATTCTGCACTCTCCTAACGGTGGAATGCAACCAAACTTGAGACCCAGATCTGCCATGACCAACAGAAAACTCTAGAAGGGTTCGGTGGGCATTGAGTTTGGGAGTTGGAACTCGCTCCCCAGGGACATCAGACATGCTCCAACTCTGGCAGTCTATAGGAGGAGCCTGAAAACGTGGTTGTTCCAGTGTGCCTTCCCAGAATAAGGAAATATGTCAGCAATATGTCCCTAAATGCACTTTATCACTGATTTAGGATTGTCTGCGTGCTCCATCTCTACCTGAAAACTATCCCAGTTATATCCTACCTTGTCCAAGTCCAGCATTATTTTTTATATTTTAAATTATTACATTTGGCCCAGCCATAGGTTTTAAATGCTTGTTGTTATTGTCACTGTCTATTGTTTACTTTTGTTTATGAGATTTATTTTAACTGTTGTATTGATTGTTTTCTTGTTGCTTTTACTGTTGATGTACTTAGGGCTCGGACTAATGTAAGCCGCACCGAGTCCCTTGGGGAGATGGTAGCTGGGTATAAATAAATTTTATTATTATTATTATTATTATTATTATTATTATTATTATTATTATTATGGGAGTAGGACTCGAACTCACCCATAAAGCACTAAGTAAAGGTAAAGGTAGTCCCCTGACATTAAGTCCAGTCATGTCTGACTCTGGGGTGTGGTGCTCATCTCCATTTCTAAGCCGAAGAGCCAGCGTTGTCCATAGACACCTCCAAGGTCATGTGGCCGGCATGACTGCATGGAGCGCCGTTACCTTCCCGCCGGAGCGGTACCTATTGATCTACTCACATTTGCATGTTTTCAAACTGCTAGGTTGGCAGAAGCTAGGGCTGACAGCGGAAGCTCACGCCGCTCCCCGGAATCAAACCTGCGACCTTTCGATCAACAAGCTCACCAGCTCAGTGCTTTAACCCACTGCGCCAACGGGGGCTCCACTACATTGTGGCAATTTGCTTAATGGGAGATTGACTCTTTGGGGCCTGTTAAGTGTTAACTCTACTCATGATCTAGGTTTATTATCTGATCTTACAGTTTCTTTTATAAATGGAGAATCAAAGCCTTCAAACAGATTTAATTAAGAAAGGCAACAATATGAATACAACCCCCTCCTTAAAAAAAAGATACTGGTTGTCATTTTTTTGGTTTTAATTTGGTGCTTACAATACCATTTTAAGAGAGTTTATTGTTGGATGAATGTGCATAGCGTCAAAACGTAAAGTTATAGTTGCCCTCTTCTAATTTCTCTTTCTTTCCCATCACTGTCATTTAACATACCTACTTGCTGTTGTTCTGCTATTTTTTTTCCTCAGAAGGAAAAAGGCCCGACATCCCAAAGCCTCATTTTATGGACGAAAAAGTGCAAAATTTGCTCTGCAAGATGACAGGGTTGAATCTGCAGAAAGTTTTTAAGCCAATAAAGCAGGAACTTAAACCTCCAACATACAAACTTTTGACAGAATCGCAGCTGGAAGAGGTATTTGGATGTCATGATTGCTGAATCTAATATTTTGAAGATATTAATCGAAATCACTTTGGACTATTTCTCATTTATTTGCTATAGCCACACAGCTTTAAAAAGAATGAACAAATGTTAATGCTTGGTTATGTTCTGTTTCGCTTGTGTTGATTGCATCATTATTGAAATGTGGCCATTCTCTCCTATGATAGTAGTTTTGAAAAATTGCTGTATTTCACTACATCAAATATTTCTCATTTGTCAACTGGTAACATTCACAAGCATTTAGTTTTAAAATTCTGATTTATTCTGACTAATTCAACCTAACCTTCCATAGAAGATACTAGAATTGGGCCCAAATCACTGTTAACAGAAAGATTTGTAGTTTTTGAAAGGCCATTTTCGTGTAGCTTCCGAAAACAGAAGGGAGAAGAGAGAGATGAAAAGACCAGTGAAATGAATTCAGGGAGACAGTATTTTCAGAAAGAGTTAAGTCCACAAAACACCCGAGGCAGGGGGATCTATGACATCTTTTTCTCTCTCCGGCAAAAGAAGCCTCCATTTTTTTCTTGAAAAATTACCTCCTCCTCCAGAGAAGGCCCTTAGAACTCACTTTCCCAGTGGCACTGGCATAGTATGGCCATTGAAAGTTCCTCTCAGAGCATGATAGGAGTTGGAAGTTTTTCTTTCTCTGTGTCTCTCAGCCAATAAAAAGCCTGGATGTGTCCATGCTCTGATTGGCTGAGAATGGACCCAAACGGCGACTACAATTCCCAGAACCTTCTCTTGTGTTTTGTCTTATTTTTAAAAATGTTATGTTTAAAACTTAAAATAATTCTTTAAAAATCAGAAAATTGGTGAATTATTTTGAAACTTGGAAGGACTGCAGTTGTAAATGGGGTCTACAACTGAGGTAGGTTTCATTCAGATAGGCTTTAAAATGACTGAGAGCTGAACCTTTAAAGTTTCCCATTGTAGCGTATGGGCCAAATCTCTGCCAGATGAAATGGAAAATGGACCCGAAAATTGTATTCTTTTTGGCCCGAATGCACATGACTAGTAGATACTATTACTAAATTCACTATTCATCCAGATCACAATTCAGTTTATAAGAACTGACAAAATCCGGTCATACCATAACATGTGCAAAGAGAGATGTTTTTCCTTTCTTTGAAAAAATGGAAAAGGTAGGCTATAAAGTAGACAAGTAATTGTAAGCTTTTAACAAAACAAAAATGAACTTCTATCTAAGTATTTCTAAGCAAGTAGATTTATAATAGTCTGTGTACATTATGTAAGATGTTTATATTTTTGTAATTTTTCTCATATTTGAAGCTGAAATATGACATTAATTGCTTCTCTTTTTAAGGCGACAGAACGGGCAACTGAGATAGCTAAAGAAAGGCTTAAAATGCCTCCTGTATTGAATGAACGGGAACCAATTAATGATGTGCTAGTAGAAGACAAGATTCTTGATGGAATTGAATCCCATAAGTATGTTTTTACTGACATAACATACAGCACCCCACACCGTGTGAGTATGTCCATAACACATATCATTTTTTTTTCTTTCCGGAGAGAATGTGTCTAGGAATCTCTAGTTCCTCCAGTATGACTCTGTGACACTAGTCACACTGCAGAACCTAGAGAGACCATACAAACCTACAAATATAGAGGGATGACTGCATGTTCTCCCTGGGTAAGCTAAGTTTATATATTGTGAATGTATGGTATAAATAGCCCCAAAATTAAAGTTCATGCAGCAGAGGCTATTGAATATAGTAATAGCCAATTGCAACCTCAGTGCCTGACATATCAGCCTCAGCCCTGTTCATTAGTTTTCTAGGAGCATCTGGCTGACTGCTGAAACAGAGGAGCTGAACCAGCAAAGCACCTTGTAAGCATCTTTGCATCCTATTTAAATAGCAGACGAGATTCTTTAATACCTCTGTAACTTGCTTCACTGGAAACAACAGGACATATTTACATTTGGTTGTAAATTGGTTCTTGAATGTTTATATTATTCTGGACCCTTTGTGGAATTAAGAGAACTAACAAGTGAGACTGCAGCTTCCGTAAAGTTTTGTTTTCAATTTCAGGAACGCTTCATTGTAGTACGAGAAACAAATGGTGCATTACGCAAGGCCACGTGGGAGGAACGGGACAGGATGATACAGATCTACTTCCCAAAAGAAGGACGGAAACTTACCCCTCCACCTTTATTCAAAGATGAAAATCTGATGGTAGATGGCTTTTCACAATGTCTTCTTTGATCTTTTATGGGCATCATCAGACCTGTTCCATTTGACCTGTCAAGAGCATGTTACTCAGCTTGGTGTTTTCTGAGTTATTTGGATGACCACTTATTACTCCAACATAGGCTTTTATCCTTGAGATAATGTGGTCCAGTTCAAGTATTTAGTTCCTAATATTGCCATAGCTTTAATGGCTAAGCGTGAGCACCACATACTTTTCACATTACAATTAAAATAAATCTTTTGAATATTTTGAAGTTGGTCTTAAGTTCTAGGTCAATAACCTAAGACTGTTGTTATCAATAGTTTCTCACAAAATGGCCAACTCCAGAGGAAGAGTACAGTCTAATTATTCATTTAAATGCTAAATTGTAGCAAGCTGAAGTCCTAATTGTCCAAGCAGGGCCTCTGTGTTATATCTTGCCTTCCATGATACAGATATGTAATAGCTGGGTTTGAAGTGTTAATGTGTGTGAAAAGCAGTGGTCCCCAGGTAAAATTGCTTTGAGCATCCTAACTTGAATGACTATAACATATACTCTTAAAATTTTATTACAGAACTCGCCCAAAATGCTGCACTGATTGCTAAGTGTCTCTGTGTTAGTGTCTCATTGTAGATCATTGTAATAAGGCAGTGGTTCTCAACCTTCCTAATGCCGCGACCCCTTAATACAGTTCCTCATGTTGTGGCGACCCCCAGACATAAAATTATTTTTGTTGTGACTTCATAACTGTAATTTTGCTACCGTTATTAATTGTAATGTAAATATCAGATATCCAGGATGTATTTTCATTCACTAGACCAAATTCGGCACAAATACCCAATACGCCCAAATTGGAATACTGGTGGGGTTTGGGGAGGGGTTGATTTTGTCATTTGGGAGTTGTAGTTGCTGGGATTTATAGTTCACCTACAATCAAAGAACATTCTGAACTCCACCAATGATGGAACTGAACCATACTTGGCACACAGAACTTCCATGACCAACAGAAATTACTGAAAGGTTTGGTGGGCATTGTCCTTAAGTTTGGGAGTTGTAGTTCACCTACATCCAGAGAGCACTGTGGACTGAAACAATGACGGATCTGGAACAAACTTGGCATGAATACTCAATATGCCCAAATGTGAACACTGGTGGAGTTTGGGGAAAATAGACTTTGACATGTTGGGAGTTGTAGTTACTGGGATTTATAGTTCACCTACAATCAAAGAGCATTCTGAACCCCACCAATGATAGAATTGAGCCAAACTTCCCACACAGAACCCCCATGCTCAACAGAAAATACTGTATTTTTGGATGGTCTTCGGCGACCCCTCTGACACCCCTCGCGACCCCCATAGGGGTCCCGACCCCCAGGTTGAGAAACACTGTAATAAGGCATTGAATGTTTGCCTGTGTCTGCTTATATACTGCAATCTGCTCTGAGTCCCCTCAGGGAGAAGGGCAGAATATAAATCAAGTGTTGTTGTTATTATTATTATTATTAGTCATATTGCTTTTGTCTAGAGCATTGCTTCTGTTAATTTTATGCTTTTTGTTCATTTGCTTGCGGGTTACAACTTTTTACTCCTTGCTGTTTTAGACCATATTTCTGCAGGACCGACATGAAGAACTCCTTAATCTCTGTGTTGTACAGTTTGAGCCAGATTCACCTGATTATATCAGAGTAAGTTGCCAATATTACATAGGACGTATAAGATCATGCTGAAACAACTGTATCTAGAAAACCTTGCAGAAAACTGTAAAGGCTTTTAAGCATTGTTGTTGATTAACTTCTGGGCAGATTCACCATCAAACATATGAAGATATTGATAAACATGGAAAATATGATATTCTGCGTTCAACGAGACATTTTGGAGGGATGGTGTGGTACCTTGTAAATAAGAAGAGGACAGATGGATTATTGATAGACATGCTGCAAAGAGATTTGTAAGTGTCCCTTAATTGAATTTACCATGTGCAAAGGAGCCACAGGTTTGGTTCCTGTGGCAAAGTTGTGTTAAACAGTGTTTATACTGGACAGTCTTACCAAGATTACCGTTGCACTTTTTATAACTGCATTTAGGATTAATGCACTAGTTTTTATTTAAAAGCTGGATGCTTTTCGTGTGAGAACTACCAAATTTTGAAGAAGTTTGTCTTGCTATTAGCAATTGATCTTCCAGCGTAATATATCAGCAGTACACCTTTCTTGTTTTGGGGCCTTTATAGTTAGAATTAAAGCCCTAGGAAGTAAACTCCATTAACATTCATGGAAGGCAAGTTCTTTAAAACACATAAACTCCAGTAACGTGGAGATAGCTTGTTACCTAATGGAAAATTTAATATTTGCTTGGAGATAACAGACAGAATAAATGCTTTTGGCATCCTATTCTGTCTCAATTTCTAAAACATGTCAGTTTTTGTATTAGGAGATAACTGAGATTATAACCTTATACTTACCTAACTGGGAGGTGAACTTCCTGAAATTGGTTGGATCCATGTTTGAACAAACATGCAGAATTGCATTACAGAAAGCTTTTTCGAATTCTGTCTGGATACCTCGAGTAAACAAAGCCCCTAAGGGAACATCTACATCACTGGTTCTCAATCTATGGATCCCCAGGTGTTTTGCCTCTGATATCAAATGTTCTGTTAAGTAAGTAATGGCTATAAACAAACCTACTTTATTAACTAGGGTATATCTATATTTTATTGATTATAAACTGGCTGTGTTTCAGCCTGCCTTCTTTGGAGAGACTTTGAACAGTTTGCAGAAAAATACGAATACTGAACACTGAAGATCTGGCACCCCCCTATAGATGGGTATGAATGAGAAACTTTTTTGGAGAACAGCTATGCAACCCTACAATTGAACAGAAGCCCATCTTTTGGATTTTAGTGGATTTACTGCACAGCAGTAGCTTACATTCATACATCAATAACACTATGTAGCAAAATTTGAAAAAAAAAATCAGTTCCTGGTTTGAAAGTGTTAGTCTTCTTTAATTGTGCAGTTCTTACTTTGAAAGTAATTGTTATACTGCAGAGCCTTTGATTTTGTGGCTGTCCAAACTACGTTAAATTGGTTGAGACTTGACGAAGATATTCATTGGAAAACTATAGCAAAATGTGCTGCAGGATGTCCCAAAAAAGGTTTTGCAGTTTAATAAACTTTTTCCATGTTTTATGATAGAACCAATTAGGAAATGACATTTATAACCCAGGAATACATATAGGGTTCAAATCATCTATTGTAACCTAACAGTATGACATAACCAATCCTTTGTTTGTAAGTGAAAACAAAAATGAAAACAAAAGCACAAGTTAGTTTAATCTACTTCTAGGGAACGATAAGACAAATTCTTCAGGAAATCCGATCTAATTGAACTTTTATCTTGCAGGCTTAATGATGCTGTAAGCTTGGTCACCCTTTATCATATATTGCATCCTGATTGCCAATCAGCAAAGGAGGCACAAGAACAAGATATCCAAGGATTAGATTTAATTAAGGTACACCGTGTTACATCATTGTTTTTTTTAAAAGCTTGTAAAATATCTAGACGTTTATCAGGAGAAAACTGTTGAGAGCATATGAAAAGGCTTTAAGTGAAACAAAGTTCCACATATTAACTGGTGGTCACTTGCTTTGTTTTAAAAACCCCAACAAATAAGGAAGTGACCATTTATTAGCACATGTAGCTTTGTCTCCCAATTTGCTTAATCATCATTTTCAGGAATGTGTACTCCAGATACCATTGGGCCACTCTAATGATTCCTTATGTTGCTAAGACTTACAGTCCAACATATAGAAGGTCTGTGCTTCAGCCAAGTTGCTTTCTGTTAACCTTTTTGCAGCTCTAGGGAGCCCTATTCTATGTCAGAAAAATAACTGTTGCTAAGTGAGACTGCTTTTCCACAGGCTTATGCAAAGACAGAAACGCAGAGAGCCGGCTACATTGAACTTGCATTACAAGCTTATCAAGCAACTTTGCCTAGATCTGCTGCTTCATAAAATGGTCATTTTGGTCATCATTCAGTGTATTGCATTGGTGAGTTGTATAAAATTGTTTAAATAAAATACATTTTGCTGTACAACGTTATTGAAGTAGTTAATCTGCTTTCTGTAAGTACATTAGGCCTGCCAGATCACTGAAGTATTCTAGTTTTTTATTAAATTAACACTTTGCAGGGAAAACACTGGAAAGGAATTTTAAAAACATTTATTAAAGGACTTTCTTCATGTAGCATGAGCTTGTAATAGCATAAGGAGGTCTATGAAACAGAAATAGAAGATTTTTTTGAAGATCTACTCCTCCCTATTTCATCCAAGTAAAGTATATATAAAAAAAGTCAAGCCACTTTCCGACATGAAGACTGCACTAACAATAAAGTTAGTGCAAAGTAATTTGTAAGGTGTTTGGTCTTTCTTTAAAGGTTTAGTCAGACATCTCTTCATCCAAATTAATATCGGTAGTATCAATATCCTCCAGGTCTAAGTTATCCAAGTCTTCATCCAGTTCCAGTAATGCCTAGGGCAGGAAGTACATGGTTAGATGCCTCGTCTTACTCAAATAATTTCTTCTACTAAACATAAAGCTTCTATATCATTTGGAGAGAAGAGTCACCGCTGAATGGACACTGGCTTTTCTATAGCCACAAATAATTATGCAGAATACTCAGTCCTACATTTAGGATTATTCAAATAAACGTGGTTAAGTTTGAAAACATTCTGCAGTGGCCCCCTACACAGAATAACAAATGCTGCAAACCAGGATTCCTAGTATCCAATACTATCCAATTATAAAGTTTGTTTCCAAAAGGTATCTGAACAAATTTTACAGAAATTGAAATCAATGGGCTGAGGATGTGCATTCTTTTGTTATAAAATGTAATTTTTCAAACCCTGTATCAAAATGATTTTATACATTTTGATAGATTTGATCTGTGAATAATATTTTACCCCTAGCCAACAATGTGCTGCCACCTATAACTCATTTTTCAATCTTGTTTGCATTGATATCTTTTGGAAACAAACTCCACAATTTGCTTTGAACATGTGCCAAAGTTCTCACGCTATGCAACTGACCCACCCCTCTTCAAAAATACAGCACATTTGGAGAGAACTGAATGGTGCCAAACTGGACAACTGAGAGGGGACCCTTGTTTGAAACCATCATTACTCTATCTTGAGGTTGTCGTGTGATGTTCCAAGACACTGGCTCAGGTTAAGAAGTAATTAGCAAGGCTGAGTTATTTTTCTCTGTTTGTAGCATGGGAAGGAACAGGGATTGGTACAGTAGTGCAAGTTACTCCTTTTTACTCCATTAAACAGATACCTGAGCAACAACTATCATGGTGGTGTAAGCGGATTAGATGGGTAGGTTTTTAACTATGATTTTTCATTGTTGCAGGGGTTGTCTACGACATAAGCAGTTTATTCTCTTTTACACCAGTATCAGTTGCTGTTTAGCCATGAGACAGTAATGATTCACAATTCTGTGTATTGACATAACAAATGTATTTTCAGAAAGCTGATGTGAAGGACTGTCATTAAGCTTGTTGCTGGCCTGATGAAATGTTGAAACTAATATTCTTGATTTAACTGAGAAGATATACCAAGTGTACAGTATGTACACAAAGGACATCTATGGTTAAGGTTCATTTTGGGTTGGTTGGAAAGTACTCTCACCAGCTGTGAGAAATAACTGTTTATAAGACACACTTGATATGACTGAGCAATGTTTATTTCTAAGATACAGACACTACTCTGGAAAAGAAGGGATAATTGATAAGGAGATTAAGTGATGTTATTAAATTCAAAAATGCAATAAGCAGAATCGTAATCTGAAACAGGGGAGCCAAAATAGATTTCAATTTAACTGTCACCTCATTCTGTGTAGCTTATAGATTGAATTTTGGTACTATCAAAGTTAACTCAGAACAACAGAAATAACTTCTAATAGGATTAAATCCTCCCAATTGAATTATTTCTGTTTGTAAACTCGCACTTTTACCTTTTCATCTTTTGTTTCAATTGGGTCCTTCCCTGCAACTGGAGGCACTGTCACAGGCTTAGCTGTAGGAATTAGTTCTTCTTCTGACTCCTTGTAATGAAAAAGGAAAGACTTTCAAATATTTGATGGTTTGTCTAAAGAAAAGCTGGGTCACAGGACCAGCCATGGTGAGCCCTCTCATTCCTTATCATGGGGAAGAGATTATATACAAAAATGTACACTTCTGGTTCAATCCAGTGACATGTTCTAATGATATATAGTGGGCCCTAACTATCCACTGGGGTTTGGTTTAAAGATCTACTGCTCTCCCCAAATGGATACCAAAATCTAGGGATGCTCAATTCCCGTTATATACAATCACATAGTAAAATGCTGCCCCTTATATAAAAAGGCAATGTGTCTTTGAGGTTTTGTAAAATAATTTGTAATGGATACAGATGGTTAACTATATCAGATTCTGATACAGATACTGGCGTATTTGTATTGAACTGCAATTAAAACAATTGTGCCTGCTTTGATGCAACAAATAATTGGTCAACATTCTGACTAAAGGATTTCAATTTCCCTTAGTATAAACCACACACATTCAAGTTACATTAAATCAGGCATTCTCAAACTGCCACCCTCCAGCTGTTTAGGCCTCCAACTCCCAGAAACCCTAGCCAACGTATTCAATGGTCAGGAATTCTGAGAGTTGGAGGGCCAAACAGTTGAAGGCCTGCAGTTTGAGGATTCCTGCCTTAAACTATGGTTTGTGACATCTGAAACCTGGTTTCTCTCATGTCTGGAATGCCTTTCTACACAACTAATGGTTGTCACTGCTCTTCCTTCAAGATAAAGAAACTACCATTTGTATTTTTCAAGTCTTTCCGTTTAAAACAAATACTCATGAATTGAAACAAAGCCTAAATGGATAGAACTGTAAATTATATATATGGATATAATTGAAGTGTGGCTGGTCCCATTCATTTTTTAAACATTCTTGCCTCTTTGTCAATAATTAGAAATATATGAAAGTTACAAAGTTTGTTATATTCCATGTATGTAGTTGGCTTGGTAAATAAAACAGTGTAGCATTTTATTATCCCATAGAAACAACACATATGTATTGACCAGAATCAGTGGGCTGTTGTAGGTTTTTCTGGCTATATGGCCATGTTCTTGAAGCATTCTCTCCTGACGTTTCACCTGCATCTATGGCAGGCATCCTCAGAGGTTGTGAGGTCTGTTGGAAACTAGGAAAATTGGGTTTATATATCTGTGGAATTATGGCCAATTGTAACATTCACACCTAAGTTCTTTCTCCCACCCTGGACATTCCAGATATATAAACCCAATTTTCCTAGTTTCCAACAGACCTCACAATCTCTGAGGATGCCTGCCATAGATGCAGTTGAAACATCAAGAGAGAATGCTTCTAGAACATAGCCATATAGCCCGAAAAACCTGTAACAACCCAACACCTATGTAGCCACATCTATTATTGGCAATTCTCACAAGCCAAGATAGTCTTTTGAAACTGTAACAGTATTTTCCCTTTCCCCTTATTCACGTCTCCTTTGCAGCAGACGAAGAAAGAAAAGGGCATACACATTTTAACTGTATATTAAGTTCTTTACCAATGTTATGTTTATATACAAACATTTAATCAACACTGTTCTATGTATGACATTGATATCATTTAACTGATTCTGCCCCCTACTAACACACATATACTTACATTCAAAACATATCAGGCTCAACTGTTTCATTCACAGATACAACACTGGCATTTTTATTTACCACCAATACTGAGTCACAGGCTGACATTTACAGGGCTGCTTTTTTGACCCTCCCCCCAAATTAACAATTATTACATGAGCATTTTGGAGCCTCCACTTAATGCTATTTCTGAGTACATAAATAAACTCTGATGATGAGAAATACAACAACATTCTGATAGGTGACAGATTTAAAATACCTAAGTCAGGCAAAGTTGTAGCAAACCATTGCAAACCATTTGATGGCAGTCAATAATTCTATTACACATTGTTAATCAAAACAGTTAGCAAAACAACAATACAGCAATATTTTGTCACCAAAGTGAATCTTAACATAAGTAAGCTGTATGAGCAACCCTTTCGTTTGGATTTGGTTTTAACCCATCCATTCAAAAGAAAAAAAATCTACACGTGAAAATATGGAATCTAAAGCACTTATTGCCAACAACAATCAGGAATAACAGTTATTAACACTAACCTCAAATATTTCTGCTTTTTGTGGCGTGAAATTTTTGGCTTCTTCCAGGACGTTTCTTTCTTCATTTGGCTATTAAAGAAGGTAACAGATATAAGAAAATATAAGAAAAGGTTCTTGCAAAGGTTTGTTGCTGTTTGCCATATGGAAAGGTTCAAAATTTGATTCTACTTACAGTGACTAGTGGATATTCACTGGCTGGGCGCAAAGCAGTTTGTGAGCTCTTGATATATTCTTCAGCAACAAAAGCTTCTTTTAATCCTGGGAACAAGTTTTCATATTCAGTGGGATCAGCCAGGGATTCGGCAGCTTTCTGGTTGATTTTAGACAGATTCTCTCTCCACAGTTTTACAACCCTATAAATGGAACAGATGGCTGTTGTAAGCAGCTTGGTTATAAGCAAAATATTTTTATTAAGTACACACACATTTCAGAGTTACCTTGAAACTTGGCTCGGCAAATATGTTCGTGCTAAGAACGCAGCTTCTGGTAAGCGTCCAGTTTTAATCAAGAGCTCAAGACAGCTGTCAAGCCTATAATATATTGGAAAAGATGGTCATTTTTTCATTCATTGAATTTTGGTTAATATGATTGAAATTTAAAAAGTCTTTAAAATGTTTCTAACTATAAATAAAGTACATTTAGCTTTCCCGAAGCAGCTTCATTCCAGATATTTTGGGCTAAAACTTGAGGCAACCCCAGCTACCATGTCCCCAGCTACCATGGTGAGGGAAAGGCAGAAAAAGTTACACATGGAGAAGGAGTAAGAAAGAAATCAAATCAGTAGAATCTTTATAGTGCAGTAGGCCTGGCTTACCCAGCTACCACTTCTTAATCTGACACAAGGCCTCAACACCCCTATGATTTTTTAGAACTGGCTTCAAGTTGTCAAAAGAATATTCCCCAATTTGGAACCAGCATTTTATCCCACATAAACTATTTTCTAGTATACTGGTGTGAGCAACTTCAGAGGAACTAGTAGGCCTTTTCACATACTAGTTTTCCCAGTTTGCCACAAAAACCAGCAGTGTGATTCGTCATCAAATGCTAATACTACAGTTTAGGGGACTTGGAAGCTCATGTACATTTCATGTGTTCCCTGAGTATGTATGTATATGTATGTGTGTGTGCGTTTGTGTGTGTACACACACACACACACACACACACAATATTTTCCCTATATGCTAGGGTTCTGTTGTTATTTATCTGTTTTGGCTACTTACTTTCCTTGCAGGAAGTAGCTCATAAATGCTACATTGTTCTTCCCATCTTTTTCTGCTCCCTCTGCAAGCTTGTTCACCATGCTGGTATTTCCTGAAGCGGTGGCCAAAAGAAGTAAGCCGCCATAATCCTGCGCATGATGCAGGCACTCCTGGGCAAGGCCAAACTGGCATTTGTTGATAGCTAGCTCAGCCAGTTGCTTCCATTTCTGTTCAGACTGTAAATAAAAAATAAATCCATGTTTCAAATGTTCTGTTTGAATTTAGCTCAGTGGTATCCTCTTTCCACTGAATATTTTACTTACAGTACAAGACCAAGAGCAAATAGTTATGCCACTATTTTATCATACAAGAGCTATCTGTTCTTTGTATAATTACAGAAAACTAGTGCTAAAAAGATGCACCTCAGTTCAGGCAGTCCCAGGATACAAAAAATATAAGTTCTGTAAGTTTGTTCTTTAGTTGAATTTGTAGGCAAGTCAGAACAGTGTAACTCTAGCCGTTTTTTTAGTTTTAAATAACATAGGGAAGGTTTAACACCTTGTAATGTTTATTTTGCTTCTGTGACCTTGAGAAGATTTCACTTCACTTTCTGTGGTGAAATCCCTTTGACAATTGACACTTCCCTCTGACAACTGAATTTTGAAAAAATTGGATTGTCATTGAAACAAGGACTAGTGATAAAGCTTCCCATAAAGCTTTCCATGATAACTTTTACAGGAGGGAATTTCCCTTCCTAGGGTTAAGATATCCCCTCACTTCCTGTTGTCTCACCTCGTTCTTAACTGTGAGTTGTTTCTAAGAGGGATGTATGTAATTCTGGGACTGACTGTGCCTTCTTATCATGACTGATAAACCAAACACAGGAGGGAAAAAAACAACTTGGCACCAATTCAGGCCTGACTGCTTTATATTTTGGAAATCTGAAATGAACAATCTGGGAAGAGTCCCAAAAATATTCAGTGTGACTGTGAAGAATAGGCACACTCTTCTAAAATAATCTGCTGCCAAAATTTGGGGAAGCATCTTCCTATTATCCCAGCATTAAGCATTGTGAAGCATCGAATGCTGTGCTCACTATATGAAAGCTCATCAATGTATGGTCTACAGCTCTTATTCAAATTCAATTCCACTTTGACAATGAGCAACCAAGAGTTCACCAAGTTCTTGTGCATCCAGAGCACCACTTATCTCACTAATCTGCTTGTCTGCATCTTAACATGAACATTCTGATTCTGAACTCATCTTATGTTTTTCCACATACCTCTGCTTCCACTGCAAGTTGATAAGCAATCTTAAGTTCACCAAGCTGAAGAGCAAGTTCAAAGCGATGTTCTGGATCTGTCGAGACTGCAAGAGCTTGCTGCTTGAACCCCTGAATAAATATTTAAAACAGTACATCAAGGAACTTTCATATCACTCACAGAAAATAAATCTGACGCACATCTGAGTCAAAATCCACTTTTTGTCTTATTGTGATAAATATTTAGAGGCATTTAAGTACCTAATTTTTATGTCTGCTAAGTTGAGCTGCAGCCATTTCTGATTTTATAAAATGACAAATCTATAGCTTTTTATTAATAAATTACTATTCCAGTAGTTAAGACAAATGCTTTTACCTGTTTCTCAAGGAAGTGTGCAACTCTGGTCCTCTGTTCCTTTGGAATTGTGGGAAGTACTTTGTCGGCCATACTGAAGTCTCTCCTCATCACAGCAGTCTGATACTCTAGCACTGAGACTAGCAAGGAGTAACTCACTATATTTAATTCTTTGTCACCAAGATAAAGTCTGTTGTCTTTCGGAATATACCCCAGTAAATACATTGTTCTTCAAGGGGAAGAAAAGAAGTGAATTTATTTAATAAAGGTAGAAGGCATATGACTTACACTAACAAAAATCTGAGAAGCAATCTAAATGATCAGGGATAGTGGTGTTTTTTTTTATCATGTCAGAAGCGACTTGAGAATATACTGCAAGTCACTTCTGGTGTGGGAGAATTGGCCGTCTATAGAGACATTGCCTAGGGGATGCCTGAATGTGTTGTTACCATCCTGCTGGGAGACTTCTGTCATGTCCCCATAAGCTAAAGTTGACAGAGAGGAGCTGATTTAAGTAAACAATAAGCTGTGAAGTTATGTCATGCTCATAAAGCACTATTAATTCTTTTGTAGATCAAAATAGATAACTGATAACAGAAATGTATTCAGTAGAGGCTCAAAAGGAAATCTGCATTAGTCGCATAACTCCAGAATTCTTCCATTTCCCAATTGCCAACTTATCAGAGACTTGGAAACTTGCACAGGAGACTGTACATGCAACTCAGAATTGTGAATGTTGTCAGCCACAATCAGGTTTTGGAATCTTAGGCTTCATCTATGGATTATATTCTTGCCCATACCTGGCACAGAAACTACTAATTGCAGCATTAAGATTTTTCTTGAAAATGCATATAACTATATAAAAAAAGAACTCTACATGACAGAGTAATTTCTCATCAGCAAGGATAGTATAAATAGGTCACTAGATGCTCACCGGTCCAAATGTGCAATGGTGACTATTTCTCCTCCAACATAGTAGTTCAGTCTGTTCACAGAACTGGTGTAAATGAAACAGTCACCTACCCACAACCCTGTTTTTACAATCTCTTGGATTTCACCAAGTACCTAGAAAAAAGAATAATTTTATTTTGGTGCTATTTTGGCTTTCTTTTGATGTTATAAAAAAGGATTAGGCCCTTTAAAAAGATTTCATCAAACAGGAGCTTTATTATAATGGTCTCTTCCAATGAGAGTGAAATGTGTTCTATATAAATGAAGGCTTGTCTTAAAATATAAAACTGAAAAATTAGATATTTTGCCACTGTACCAGTGAAGCGAAGATTAAATTAATGATTGACAAGACTGGCCTTAATGAGATGTGGCACAGGAAATTATGTAAGGTGGATTAAACAACTTTAACAATACTGTAAAAGGCATAAGTGAAAAATATTTATGCAGATTCAAACTACTATACAACTCATATTCATAGGAAGATATATTGCTCTTAGCATACACGAAACAGTCGATTGGCCAAGTCAATCCCATGTGTTTCCATACTCTGGCTGTAGTGGCACCTTGTAATATATAACCTATATTATAGAATCTATTTAAAAACAGAACATGTTTGTCCTCTTCTCTCCCGCCCCCCAATCTGCAGTATTCGTTTCTACAGATAAGGGATCAGATCCCAAACTGCTTATTCATTAAATACAGTTACCTCAAAGGCATCTTCAATGCCATCTTCAGTGACTCCCTCATGTGTCTCCTGTGCTGCGGCCACTTTCTCAGAAAGATACTTCAGAATGAAAAATGATTCTTCTGTAGCTATGCAGACAAGTTCCCCAGAATCAGACCAGAAAATCTGCATCAAAACAACAGAATGACCTTTAACTTACCAGATGTGTCAAGAAGAAACATTTAAATCACAGCACTGAGAAGGCAAAACATGCTACCTTCTATTGTAAGTATTCACAACATTTCTCACATTTCTCTAACAGAATCAAAATTAATACCTAAGAAAGCTTTAATTCAGCAAAACGTAACAGGTTCAAACTCACATGTTTGGGCTGTATTTCAATTCTCCGTATCAGCTCTGTATTTTCCCAGTCATAAAATGCCAAGCCATTGACAGATCTGACACCCAGTAAAAAACCGCCATAGATACCTGGAGCGGAGAGAAATGGAAGTCAGTCCAGTTAAGACTACTTGAAAATGCTAAAAATGGCAACTAGTAGTATTAAATATAACGTGCCTTCTGCTCCAAAGTCAGGTTTAAAGGACTTCTTCTCTTTGAAGTTTTTGAATATTTTGACACTGCTGTTGCTTTCCCGGATTGCATACCTGCATAAAAACAAAATCATCCCTTAGGGTAACAAAGTTCATTTAACCAAATAATCACAAGAAGTCGGGAGTGGGTTATGGTGGCATTCTGACTGTGCACAAGCTGCTAAGGATCTCTCAGCTTGGTTACACTCATTCCCTGTTTCCAAGGGTCCAAGAGAAAAACAGTGACTTAGAATGAGAATAGATCTGACAGAATGTAGTCTACTCCGTACATTTTTAAAACTAGGCATGAGAACTGTGTAGACCAATGGTTCTCAACCTGTGGGTCCCCAGATTTTTTGACCTTCAACTCCCAGAAATCCTAACAGCTGGTAAACTGGCTGGGATTTCAGAGAGTTGTAAGCCAAAACACCTGGGAACCACAGGTTGAGAACCACTGGTGCAGACCTCTAAGGGTTCAAGTGCAGCTCCCAGCAACCCCACCCACAACATCAGGGAACAAGAGGGTACAGCTTAATTCTGACCACTAAGCTGAGCCTACTGTCAATCCCATATCAAGTAAACCCAGTTACTGATAACTTGGTATGCTGCTGATATTGATTCAATGGTCTACTCCAGTTGGGACTAAAAATAAGACTTATATAGATGTGCCTCAAATTAGGTATTTTACCTACTGTAAATTACTGAATATTGAAATGAGAGGTTTCATGCCAAAGTATAAAATATAGAATATTCAATAGATTCAAATACGTTTGAGATCTTTTAGGAACAAGTCAGATGCTTTAGTTTTGCTTCTAAATTGGAATGCACTCCACAAGTCAAAAGGAAAGATTCTCACCAGCAGAGATATCTGTCTACCAATTTAATTATATAAGGATTGGGCACTGAGATGGTTGGGCACTTTGGTGCAGATAATATTGGCAAGTTGTGGTACCTACACAGGCCTATACCACATTCTGACACAGCTCCCAAGGATATAAACCTGCCTGTATCTGTGCACCTAGAAAAGTGTTTTATGCTAGAACAATTGGCTACAGTCACAAAACATGGAAAAACAGAAACGGTGCACCCTTGGATCAGCGAGACACATGCAAACATAGGATCAGCAAATACAACTCTGCTAAGACATAGCTTTCCAAAATGCCCAGTAGATCCATTCATTAAGCCACAGATGTGAATGCAATAAGACAAAGAGTTCAATTCTTCTGCGGTATCTCACAAGTAGTACATGACACATCCTTCACAGAAAGGATGCCGTTACCTCAATTAGATTCTAATTTGGAGAAACCACTTTTAACAAGTCTAGTCATCATGAACCTTTTTTCTGCATACATCCTAACTGTTCACAGTTCAAAACTAAGTCTCATACATGAGGTTGAAAAAAGCACTTACTCTGAAGAGTCATGTGCCCATGCAAACTCCTGAGCAGAACCAAAGCTTTTGTTTCTCAATGCCATTGCTGTATAAATTATGTATTCACCATCCCCACATACCACAACAAACCTGGAAGGCAATAAAAACATAAGTAATGAAAAATTATTTATCTGCACTATCAGAAGGCTCACAGAAAAATTACTTTAGCAGTATTTGAAAAATATCTTACCGCCCATTAGGGTTATGTTGAATGGTCTGAGGATATATCTCACAGCTACCCATATCTTTCACAGCCAGAGGCAGCCTTTCTCCATCTTTGATTTCAGCATCTCCCATTGCTTTCAGATTAGCTTGCTGGATTTCGGAATGTTTTGCCCAAATAATCTTTCCATTGGCATCCATTGACATTGCTGGCTCTTCTCGGCCAAGCTAGTAAAACAAGAACCAGGATGAGAATTCACAACATCCTGTGAATTTAATGCACTGATTTGCATAAAACATTTATTCCCAAGGAGATAAATTTAAAATGCACTATTCCAAGCAAGTTTTCCGTTTAAGTAATGAAGATACATGACCTAATGACAGGTATAAGGATTGCACATATTTTGTAAGAGATGTACCTTAACAATGATGCTTCCCTCATCATATCCCAAAGCAACGTTATTTGATCCTCTCAGGCTTGCCACACACCATACCCGCTCCATGCCATAGTTCAGAGTACTTTCTAAACGGTAAGTACTTGAATGCCAGATACGAACAGTACCTATGTTCAGAGAGGAAAGACATGAATGAATTTGCCCCTGAAAGAGTAACTTTAAGCAACACTGCTCCAATGCTTTAGAGCAGGGTTGGCAAATCTTTGAGGTGTTTGAGGCTCATAATTCCTTATCACTAGCTTATGGTGGCTAAAGTTCCTGAGAACTAAAGTCTAAACTATATAGAGGGCCAAAGGCTTCTAATCTCTAGTTTAAAAAGAAAAAAAAAACACCCAAGAACCCATTGTATTACTATTGATACTTTCATGCCTTATATTTTTGAAAGGCAGCTGTTCTGAGCTGGAACTTTTACGGCATCTTACACTCCACAAGACAGCTTAATGTGGACTTCTCTAATGTGTTCCAAAGCACATTACCAAAAGCCAAATGAATGTGATCAGACTTTCCTTTTTTGGTTGCTTTTAAAACCCTAATCTCCCAGTCAGAAAACAACTAAAATAATATTATAGTAAGGCAGGAAACTATTGCCAAAAACTAGAGAAGTAATGTTGTAGTTCACATACTGAGAAGATTTAAAATGCATTCATTTGCATTTATTTCTTAGAAGCCTGGGGCATTTTCGCTCTTCCTCTTAAATGTATGAGATATTGAACCAGTTCTATTGCAGATATAATCATTTTGAAATGTAAAGATAAAATGCTAAATAGAAAGTGAGATACATGTTCTTGCACAAATGTGAAAGTTAAAAATACTATATGTAATGAGAGCATGATAAAGCAGCATGATAAAACAACTAGGTAAGCGAGATAATAGCAAAATTATGCCAATTTACCCCACGAGATGATAAACACTGGCTTAAACATAACTATTCAGAATGCCTGAGAATTTTAAAAGTGCACAAAAGATAACTCTCTTGGGCACCAACTATGTACAAATCGTATTTTTCATTTCTGTCATTGATTAACCTATTTACCGTGGGGGTTTTATTTTTCATGTCAGGAGAGACTTGAGAATCTGCAAGTCACTTCTGGTGTGAGAGAATTGGCCGTCTGCAAGAACATTGCCCAGGGGACGCCCGGATGATTTGATGTTTTTATCATCCTTGTGGGAGGCCTTCTGATTTCGATTCGGGGGAGGGGGGGGGGGGGGGGGAGGCTGAGTCTGAGTGAAAGAGGGTCTACCCTAGCAAACCTTTTGTATCGTTACCCCAATACCCCCATGCATATGGGATATATTGAGTATGGTGATCAGATCATGATATGAATAAACATAACAGTTTAAATAATGCACCAGTAAGGCCTTTTCGCGAACCACCATGAGTATTTGGGGGGGGGGGGGGGTGAAGCCCCTCAAGCCCCCCCCCCCCCCCGGCTACATGCCTGTTTGTGAGAGGCTTCTCTCATGTCCCCACATGAAGGGCTGGAGCTGATAGAGGGAGCTCATCTGCCTCTCCCCGGATTTGACCCTGCAACCTGTCGGACTTCAGTCCTGCCGGCACAGGGGTTTAACCCACTGCACCACCAGGGGCTCTATTTACCCTGTTAAGAGCAACTGAGTGCTGCAGAAGTAATGCAGTGTGACACCACTTTAATTGCCATAGCTCGATGCTAAAAAGTCATGGAAGTTGTAGTTTGGTGATGCACCAGTACTCTTTGACAGAGAAGGCTAAAGACTTTGTAAAACTGTAACTCCCATGATTCCATAAGACTGAGCCATGGCAGTTAAAGTAGTGTCAAATGTCGTCACTTCTACAATGTAGATGCACTCTTAGTCTGTTACTGTGCTAGTTTTCTAGAGCAGGAAAGACAAAAATATCTCTGATTGGTAACATTTAAATATTGTGCAACCGAAAGTGAAAATGCTTACAACAATATCAATAGTTAAAAACAGTTGGCACTTGAAAAAGAATGGAAAACTATGTGTTGTCAAAGGCTTTCATGACCAGAATCACTGGGTTGCTGTGAGTTTTCCGGGCTGTATGGTCATGTTCCGGAAGCATTCTCTCCTGGTGTTTCACCTGGACTTTCCACAGATATATAAACCTCACTTGCCTAGTTTCCAACAGAACCTTCAACTTCTGAGGATGCCTGCAATAGATATGGATGAAATGTCAGGAGAGAATGCTTCTGGCACATGGCCATACAGCCTGGAAAACTCACAGCAACCCAATAGAAAACTAGTTTCACACTCTTATAAATCAATGAAAAAACTTAAGTTACCATCTTCAGAACCAGTGATAATAATAGGCAGCTCAGGATGGAAACTAACACATGACACATTTTGTGCATGTCCCTCCAGAGTTTGCACACATGTTTTATTCTGGAAAAAAAGAAAAAAATGAATAAAATCTTAACAGTATTCTTAATATCTGATAAATCACACCATGGTTATAAACCAGAATACAGTGTTATTAAAGGTCCCCCGGGGAAAAACCAATATCCATAATTTTCAGTTAATAAGCTAGCCCAGTTGTTGATCTATTTAACAAAGATATACACCAGTGCCCTCCCAACAGATCAGCTGTTTAACATACCTGATAGTCCCAGATCTTAACAAGGCGGTCATCTGCTCCTGAAATCAGGTATGGCTTATCACCTCCACTGTAGTAATCAATACAATTTACGCCTTTTTCATGGCCTTCCAAAGTAAAGTTGGGTGAAGAAGAGCCAAGCTGCCACACCTTCCAGGAAGATGGAATTAACCAACAAAAATTAGTTCTTCAAAATTCAATATAAAATAAACATTTCAAAACCTTTTTCAAACGTTCAAGAAAGAGGAGAGTAAAATGTATCCTATAACCATCTTCTCACTTTGCAAGTTTAGTAGTGAAAATAAAGAATTAAATTCTCAACTATCCTGCTAGATTCAGTACTAGATTCAACTATATGAAGCCTATTGGGATTTTATTCCTAAATCTTTCTGAATAAAATTAGGTAGAATAAAAACATCCAAGTATCATGGGGGAAAGAATCATATTTTAAATTTCTTTAAAAAGTAGCAATTCCTTCAGATTTTTTGATGTCTTTAGGATAGTTCAAAGAGGTCCTAAGAAACAAACTGAAACAACCACAGCCTTCAGAGCGTGTTCTCTCTGAAGGCATTTAGCTCATTATGAGGATGCCACTAAGGACTGAATCAAGACATTCATATTAGGGTTGAAATCCAATGGCCTCCACAGCAGTTTTTCCTTCCCCCCACTTCCATGTCCTCACCCCCCAATCTCTCACCTATACAGTAAATATGGGACTCAAAATGGCAATTTCTTTTCTTGGAAGTAATTGTTCTACTCACCTCAATATTTGGAACCCACTGACGCCAATATACCTCATAAAACAGCCTCCACAATTACTATCTAATGCTCCTTGCAGTCACTATATCTAATGCTCCTTGCAGTCACTATAGTGAGAACACAAAATCTGAATTGTAATTACCTCCCACTATTAATCATATCAAAATACTGAGAGATCACAATTCTTTTCACAGAATCCACACTTCATGTGCATCAACAACTATAATCAATATTTTTAGTACACAACCTTTGTCATCTAGAATATTAACTAATATAAATAGTTCGTCAAATCTAATGGCTGTCAGTTCAATTGCTGCAAGTGACTGATCTTCATCTCCAATGTAAAGAAAAGCACTGTATTTCATTTTCAATAAATAATTTTGACACTGAAGTAACCAATCATTATACCTTGATTGTCCTGTCCAAAGAAGCACTGGCAAACTGGTTATTGTCCTTAGGATTTATGACAATCTGCATCACATAATGAGTGTGCCCTTCAAACACTTGTGAGCAGGACCATTTTTTGTCCCAGTCCCATAGTTTAATCAGCATATCATCTACAAAGAGGAAAATGTGTTACTCAGAGAAAGATTTTCAACCCATATTACCAACTTCATAAATAACAACATGCATTAACAACTGACTGCACCGACAAAAAACTATTTTTTTCATTTTATTAAAGATCTCTATCTTCAAGTTTCTCATATGACTCAAAGATCTATAACAGAGTGTGCAATCTATTGTTAAGACTTTAAATCATATCAGTTCCACCAGTTAAAATCAATGATCATGGATTATGTGAGTTCTGGTCCAATGGTTTAAAGATAAAATGTTCCTTATACACAACTTAAAACGCTCAATCGCTACACCTGAAAGCCATGACAAATCAGTTTTTGTGGAAATTCTAGCTTATGATGAATGAGCTTCATGCCAACATATATAGCCTGTTTGTTCCTGCTTGGATCTACAGGAGGCATGGGCAAACTTTGCCCCTCCAGATGTTTTGGACTTCAACTCTCACAATTACTAACACCTGGCAAGCTGTTAGGAATTGTGCGAGTTGAAGTCCAAAACACCTGGAGGGTCAAAGTTGGCCCATCCCTGATCTATAGGAACTAAAATGTACTGTGCTGCCTAAAGTCATACTTCTAAACAAGCCAGGGATTAATTCTAAAAAACAAAACGTAGTTTCAAATGACACAGGAAATAAATTTTAGCCCTAATTACCGGCTTTTAAGGTTTAAAAGTCTAGGGAAGTTTTATTTCACTGTTTCTTTCAATCAAATATTTGTATGGCATGCAAATTCCCTTACAATCTTTTCAAGTTTTTTTAAAAGTTTATTGGTCCCATCCAATTCAGCCCTCCCAAAAAAGAACTAGTAAGAAAATCCCAATAATTTCATTTCAGAAATAGACAAGACACACATTCAGGCAACATCATTCTTTTTATGATTTCTTATGATTCCAGTAAGTAATAAATCTAAATTCTTACCACTGCTAGTAAGAATGAAAGGTTGTGTAGGATGCACAGCAATGCAGCGGATATAATCTGAGTGTGCTTCAAACATGTGAACTCTTTCCAAAGTATTGTAGTTGAAAACTCTTATTTGCATGTCATCCTACAAAAAAGAAAAAGAAAACCAAATGAAAATCAGACTCTTGGCAAAAATTGCTGCCAGAAATACTGAATTTTTCAGTTCAGCAGAGAGAAAACAAAGCCAACTTACAGCTCCTGTCACAACCCAGTTCTTCCTTGCCACAAATTTAGCTGCTCTGACTGGCAGGTCACATACTTCAAAGGTCTTGACTAGTGTCTGAAAACAAAGATTAGACCTTATATTACTAATTTATGCAAATGTCTTTTAAAACCACCTAGACATGAAAAGCCACATTAAAATTTAGAATTGTCAGAAAAAGAAATAACTTACAAAAAAGTTTTTAAATGCCGAGGGAGAAACACTTACTTAATAAATCTTGGTCAGGGAATTAACTGAGAAAATGGCACAAGAAGTGAAATTATATCGATGTAATCGAGAAAGATGCTGTAATTTTTTTAAATTTGAAAAAAAATACAGTTGATGTTGACAACAGAATTCTTGCACCACATTTAATGGTGGCCTCACATGTAGTAGCACACTAATAAAACTATGGTTTTAAAATCAACAAGTCTTATATGAAATCTTACCTGTGTTTCATGATTCCAGACACAGACACTGCCATTGTAAAGACTAGCCAACATCCATGGCTCTGTAGGATGTAAGTCTACACTCTTCACACGGTCAGATCGAGCTGTGAGCTTACGCTTTATATCAAGTCGGAGAGGCTAAAAATAAGACAATTGTTTAAGATATTTATGCCACAAGAAGGACCAATTTGAAACAACCAGTGATATTTATACAAGAGACACATTGCCTTGACTTCAACACAGTTAACATCTTTCAGATATTGGCTTGAGTAACTCAAGAATCCAGTCCAAACCAATTCATACTACAAACGTGAACACATCTTTACTAGTCTCCAATGAAACATCATTCTTATGCAAAGCAAACATGCTGCCATATATACATACTAAAGAGGTGGAGACTGTTTTGAATGCAAGATATTTGCAAATATGAAAACTGTTAAGGAGAAATTCAAGATCTGGATGAAGGAGGCTACTGACATTTATAAAGTGGGACAGATAAAAAGGCAATTTCATGTCCTTCATAAACTATGCACAACTTATATTAAAGTATAGAAAGGGAATGAGGAAGCATCAAGGGGATAGCTGTAATAAGTTAAAAATAGGCTAAATGTTCCTTAAGAACATTTATTTTTGTTTACCACAAAAAAATATTAAGTTCATTTCAGACCTGTTGCTAACCACAATTGACAGGCCTGGACAAAATGAGCCACCACACATTCTTCACTGCTGGAAGTATTAATAATTATTGTTCTTTCTTAGGAAATGTGAATTAAAGCAAGAAAAAAAATATTAAGTTCATTTCAGACCTGTTTCAGACCATTTCCCTGAAATTGTACACATCCACAGATTAGTGGATCAAACAATAGATAGTGTAAACTCAGAGAATTTGCTTCTTTTGTTGCAACTTACTGAGTTGCTGCTTTCACTAAGATATTCACCATGACCCATATTTGGGTCTCTACCTCACGAGGGCAGAATTGCGGGATCAGTGAATTCTGATAAACCATTATGAAGACTTTCTTTTTATGTACACTTTTCGTACAGCAGAATGTTTCCAAAAGCAGTTGTCTCACCTTCATTAGTGATTTCTAATCAGAGATCAGTTGGTCATTTATTAGGGATGCTGTAATAGATGCTGCGTCTCCAAGACAGAGTAAGGTATCATCCTTTCTAAAACACTGAATTGTGACTGTGCTCTCCAAAAAAACTCTTTCTTGGTTAGCCACAATCAGTTCTAACCCTATTGTGGGAGTTGATGCCCAAAACATCTGGAGGGCTCAAGTTTGCCCATGCCTGATCAACAGTGTAGAATGAATGGAGTTTGATACCACTTTAACTGCCATGGTTAGAAACCCTGGATGTTGTTGTTTTATGAGGCTTTTTAGTCTTTTCTGTTAAAGAATGCTGATGCCCTATCAAACTAAAACTCCCATGACTCCATTGCATTGAGCCATAGTGTCAAACTGCATTCATTCTATGCTGCAGATGCCCCTAAGGGCCCTCCCACACAGCCCTATATCCCAGAATATCAAGGCAAAAAAATCCCACATCATCTGAGTGTGGACTCAGATAATCCAGTTCAAAGCAGATATGGTGGGATTGGGTTGCTGTAGGTTTTTCAGACTGTATGGGCATGTTCTCGAAGCATTCTCTCCTGATGTTTCACCTGGATCTATGGCAGGCATCCTCTGAGGTTGTGAGGTCTTAGAATCTTAGAATCATAGAGTCGAAAGAGACCTCATGGGCCATCTGGTCTAACCCCCGGCCAAGAAGCAGCAAAATTGTATTCAAAGCACCCCCAACAGATGGCCATCCAGCCTCTGTTTAAAAGCTTCCAAAGAAGGAGCCTCCACCACACTCCGGGGCAGAGAGTTCCACTGCTGAACAGCTCTCAGTCAGGAAATTATTCCTAATGTTCAGATGGAATCTCCTTTCTTGTAGTAGTAGCAGTAGTAATTTTATTGATTAGCCCTTAGGCCATATCACAATAAGAAACAGAACAACAAGGCCTTGTAGTTTGAAGCCATTGTTCTGTGTCCTAGTCTCCAGGGCAGCAGAAAACAAGCTTGCTCTCTCCTCCCTATGACTTCCCCTCACATATTTATACATGGCCTGCATCATGTCTCCTCTCAGCCTTCTCTTCTTCAAGCTAAACATGCCCAGCTCTTTAAGCTTCTCCCCATAGGGCTTGTTCCCCAGACCCTTAATCATTTTAGTCGCCCTCCTCTGGACACATTCCAGCTTGTCAACATCTCCCTTCAATTGTGGTGCCCAGAATTGGACACAGTATTCCAGGTGTGGTCTAAACAAGGCAGAATAGAGGGGTAGCATTACTTCCCTGGATCTAGACAGGTCTTGTGGGATTTCCTGTGGGAAATTGTGGGATTTCCTGCCTTGATATTCTTGGACATAGGGCTATATGGAAGGGCCCTTAGAAAGACCTTTCTCTCCCCCATTCCCTCCCCAAACATCCATCCCAGCCCGCAGAAAAGGAAGGGCTCTGCAGAATGCCAAGCCAAGGCCCGTCTTGAGGAGGCCTTCAGGAAATCTGGACTCACCATGGCTTCAGCTCCCGCTCAGGGCTGCTTCAGCCTCCCGAAGCTCCCAGGTTCGCTCACTGCCCAATTCACCGACGTGGAGCTTCCGGCTTTGGCTGTTCTCGCGAGAAATCCAAGCCAACGCGAAAACGCCAACTCAATCACTTCCGCCCAGTGCTCTTCTTTTGCGGAGGGAGGGAGCGAAAGAGACACAATAGATCTACGAAACGTATAGACTACCCATTCATAGGGTTATTGAGGCTCTCCTTTTGGAATTATTATTATTACTAGCCATCCCCTGCCACGCGTTGCTGTGACCCAGTCTGGTGATCTGGAAATAAAGTAAAGAGTAAGTGTTGGTTTCTAATATATGTAATTTCTTTATGCTTGTGGGTAAACAGTATTTCTTGCTGTTTCTTTGTCAGTGTTGATGTGGAGAGTGTCTGGTTTGCCCACCCTGGAACATGCAACATATCATAGTCCTTCTTTAGGGGTCCCTTTCAAATCTATGATACTATATCTCTCTGTGTGTGAATCATATATATCTCTCTATATCTATGGCTGGATGGCTCTTTCTCAGGAGGGCTTTGAGTAAGTTTTCTTGCCCTGATGAAGGGAGTTGGACTGGATGGCCTTAAGTATTCTCTGTTGGCCATGGGGGTTCTGTGTGGGAAGTTTAGCCCAATTCTATTGCTAGTGGGATTCAGAATGCTCTTTGATTGCAGGTGAACTATAAATCCCAGTAACTACAACTCCCAAATGTCAAGGTCTATTTCCCCCAAGCTCCATCTGTGTTCCTAGTTGGGCATATGGAATATTCGTGCCAAGTTTGGTCCAGATCCATCATTGTTTGAGTCCACAGTGCTCTCTGGATGTCAATGTACTACAATTCCCAAAATGCCTAGAAAACCCCTCCAGTATTGTCTGTTGGTCATGGGAGTTCCGTATGCCATGTTTGGTTCAATTCCATCATTGGTGGAGTTCAGAATGCTCTTTGATTTTAGGTTAACTATAAATCCCAGCAACTACAACTCCCAAATTTTTTTGAGTGATGGTCACTCCTTGGGTTAGTAGGTGTCTTGTGGCCAAATTTGGTGTCAATTCGTTCAGTGGTTTTTGAGTTATGTTAATCCCACAAACGAACATTACATTTTATTTATATAGACTAGCCGTCCCCTCCCACGCATTACTGTGGCCCAGTTTTGTGATCTGGATATAAAGTAATGAGAAAGTGTTGGTTTCTAATGTATGTAATTTCTTTATGCTTGTGGGTAAATCGTATTTGATTACGTTTCCTTGCCCTGGTGAAGGGAGTTGGACTGGATGGCCTTAAGTATTTTCCATTGGTCATAGGGGCTCTGTGTGGGAACATTGCATTATTATTTATATATTATTATTATTATTATTATTATTATTATTATTATTATTTTAGTTTTACTGTATTTATCAAGAGCTGTCTTTTTCCTCAAGGAACTATTTAACAACTTCATGACATCCATACTTAGCTGGAAGGAAGTTCCACTCAAGGTAAAGAATTCTTTTTTATTCAAAGCCAATTTATGCCCTATTGATTCTTCCATTTCCTTCTGTACCTTATTATAAAATTTTTGTACTCTATCACATTCCCACCAGTATAGGAGCCATTTTTTCCACATCTGTGCCAACACAATTTTGAGGTTGATTTAGTTATTGTGTGTGCTAATTTCATTGGGGTTCTGCACCATTTAGTCAATATTTCCCTTTGTGTTTCTCTAATCCTTATGTACTTGATATGTTTAATTGAATTGATCCAGTGTTCAGTGTCTGAATCATTGTTATTCAAGTCCTCTTTCTATATCTCTACCAATATTTGTTTCAATTTATATTGATTTCCAACTAATTTCTTGTATATTAAACCCATCAGGCCTTTCTCCTTTTCTAATTTTAACTTTAAAATTTGATCAAAATCTGTTTCTGGGCCTTCATTTTTCCTCCAATTCATGATCCTTTGTTTCAGTCCATTCCAAAGGAGCCAGTTACAATGGCCACAATTGTCCATAATTGTTTCATCTGGGTTTAAGATCTCTTATCAATTTTGATCCATTTTGTTTTCAATTTGTTACCACTTTGCCAAATATCTGTTCCTTTTTATTGTCTAGAAACCCTACTGGGAGTATATCTACTTTATTTATTGGGAATTTACCTTGCCATTTTTTCCAGCACTCCAGGAATGAGATCATCCCCCCCCCCCCGCCTTTAATTTCTTTTAGAGTTTTATTGTCCACCCATTCTTTTAAGCACAAGCAATGATCCTATCGGTTAATTGTTTGTTTGTTTTTTTCAATTCTGGCCCATCTTCTTGAATCATCAAAATCGAATTCTATTTTGTTAAATGGCAAGCCTCAAAATAATTTTGTAAATTAGGTGTCCCCCATCCTCCATTTCCTTCTGGAGAGTAAAATATTGAACTGGCAATTCTATTTTTATTTGTTCCTATTATCCAAGTTTTTATTGATTTGTCCCATTTCTTGATTATTTTACTAGGAATACTATATGGGAGAACTTGGAATTATATGAGTCTACACCAGGGCCGTAGCCAGAAAAAAATTTCGGGGAGGGTTGAAAATTTCGGGGGGGGGGGGGTTTGAAAATTTCAGGGGGGGGGTTGAAACCTGCCTCCTCGCTCACGCTGAAGCAAAGAGCACAGCAGGGGGCAGAGCAGCCTTCAATAGCCTGCAGCTCCGCCCCTGTCAACCACCTCCACCAAGTCTGGCCTCCTTAATGAGAGCATTCAACACCCCCCCCCCCCAACTTGGTTGCTTCGCTACATCGGCTATTGCTGCAAGTAATGACAGTGTGAATAAATTGTCAATATTTGCTTGAGATAGTGCTTGCAGTTCTGGAGGGACTCTGATTTTTTGGGTCTCATAGACATAGCATGGGGATTTGGTTAACTAGTTAAAATTCATGAGCAAACCAGGTTTTTTTAACCTGAAAAAATTGGGGGCGGGGTTGAACCCCAACCCCCCTCCCTCCCCGGCTACAGGCCTGGTCTACACTGTCATATAATCCAGTTCAAAGCAGATAATCTGGATTGTATATGGCAGTGTAGAAACGGCACGAGAGTCCTGTAATCTTAGAACTGGAACCTAATGATTGGGGTTGCATCTACACCATAAAATGCAATTTGACACCACTTTAAGTTCCACTGTGCAATGCTATGGAATTGTGGGAGTTGCAGTTTAACAAGGCCCATAGCTTTCTCTGCCATAGAATGCTAGTGCCTAAAAGTTTGTGACTTCATTTTTTAAACATTGCAGCATTTTCTGGAAGTTATACATGACTACCACCCTAATCCTCAAGGCATTTTCCACAGTCTAGTGGGCCTGCATTTGCTAGTAATGGTCCATTGATCACAGCTGTCCTTCCAAATCTGAACATGTTATTTCTTTCCTATCCCTCAAATGATAAAAGGCAACTGATGAAAAAAATTGGGGGAAATATCATTGCTAGTATTGTGTGTATATATATTTTTGTATGTGTATGTGTGTATGTAGAGAGAGAGAGACTAACCAGCTAGATCTCAAGGTAAGTTACTTTTCTAATATTATTGGAGTTAAAATTTTATTATCCGCTGTTTATGCTTATTGCCCTTTGTCCCTAGACCTTAAATGGCCAAATAGAAAGAGGCTTCTGCTTGTATTGAGGAGATCCCTTTAGAGCAGACATGGGCAAACTTTGACCCTCCAGGTGTTGTGGACTTCAACTCCCATAATTCCTAACAGCCGGTAGGCTGTTAGGAATTGTGGGAGTTGAAGTCCACAACACCTGGAGGGTCAAAGTTTGCCCATGCCTGCTCTAGACCATCTTAACAGTTCTACCACTTTTTTCAAGAAGCTTTTGTATACCTGTGTTGCCCTATTACTGGCTTTTTTATTTGCTTTTTATTTTTTAACTTCTTTCAGTGTGATTGTTGCACACAAACAAATTTCTAATTCATGCTTACAGCACATCCTGCATTTTATGTTTGAATTGTAGAATGATCACAATGGTGTCATACCATTGCACAACTGGGACAAACCCTGCGGTTTGTGTTAAATAATGTATTTCAACTTTGCCTTTGATGAGCCCTAGGCTATACTTGTAAGGCTTAATCTTAGCTATTATGCTTTGTAGTTTAAATAAATTCCTCTGAATCCAGTGGACTGGGAATAAAGCTACTATTTTACATACATATAGCCTGAATATGATCTATTGAAAACAGCGAGACTTTCTTCTGAGTAGCTGTGCACAAGATTTTATTTTTCCCCTTATTTTTTTATTTAACAGTTGAAAATCTTCATTAGGTAGAGTCATTGCAGTGATGTCATTTTGTAAAGACATTTTTTTAATTCAGCGGAAGCAGAACTTGTTTCAAAGTGTTATCTGATCCTTTTTATAAAAATGTAACAAGATTTTTAGAGAGATAACATGGAAGTTGTATCAGTCTTAAGAGTGGCTGCCACAATCATTAGAACCAACAGTCAAGGATTCTAGGATCCAAAATTCAACACTGTAGAACCCACAGCTTAGTACCACTAATCTAACAGCTCACTCCAAAGGTGCATCTACACCAGTGGTTCCCAGTCTTTGAGCCACCAGGTGTTTTGGACTTCAGCTCCTACGGTTTCTATCAACTGGTAAGCAGGCTGGGATTTCTGGGAGTTGAAGACCAAAACACCTGGTGGCCCAAAGGTTGGGAACCACTGAGCTACACTGAAGAATTAATAAGAGTTGTAGTTTTACAAGGTCTTTAGCCTTCTAAAGAGTGCTGGTGCCTAAACAAACTGCAGCTTTTGAGATTCCATAGAAATACATATACAATATATTACCCAATGGTAGGAAATCTGGGATCTGTAGTCTGGTGAGGCCCCAGATTCTTTGCCTGAGAAGATGAAAGACCTTGTAAAACTACGACTTCCATAGTTCTACAGTATTGAGCCATGGCAGTGAAGGTGATGTCAAATTGCATTAATTCTACAGTATTGATGCACCTCTAGTCCTATTGTACACGTTTATCACAATTCTTACTTTCAGTAGGACTTAATTCTCAGGCATGTAAATACAGAATTATAGCTTCAGTAAATTGATCCATCACAACAAATACCAGCTACAG